ACCGCCACCGCCACCGCGCGGGCCTCGGGCCGCAGCGAGCGGGGTACAACGGGATGGCGGCCCGGGCCCCGGACACCGCACGGCAGTGACATGCCAACGCCGCCGCCTCCAGACAAGCCTCCCTGCCTCCTCTCACTTCTCCCTGGGCCGGGAGCACTCTGCAGACAGACAAATTCCTTCTGCCTGGACTCTTCTTTCAGAAGAGCAGCAGGCCCAGTTGTATCAGAGCAAAGGGCTTTGTTCTCCCAGCCGCTGCAGGTTCCTGGCTTTTGTCATCAAATCTTCGTTGTGGGTACTCATCAAGCCCCAAATCAGAGTGATTTGCTAAACCGCAAGGCCTGGAGTTCCCTTGAAGAGCAAACATTCTGCCATCAGACCAAGAGTGTTCACTTTTGTATGACAGCCTCCACCAGCACAAAGACTAAACCTCAACTTAGGCACCTACAATGCCCTCATTGCTATGCAGCCTCAAAACAGGATCCAAAGAGCTTCCAGAAAGAAAACGGGGAAACAAACATGGCAAAGAGGGCAAGGGAAACAGTGATGAATCATTTCTGTGGTAAGCTAACACCCATGAATTGATCAGCTACAAATTTCTGGGGTGGTGGGAACCTGTACAGGTGCACAGCACTCCCCACAGCTGGCAAGTCACGGTCTCTGCAGGACAGCAAGCTGTGAGACACATTATCAGCCTTAACACAAAAAGATTTGCCGTTTCCCTCACAACCACAGAGCAGCCTGTAATTCCCAGATGCAGCTAATAGCAGTCACTTATGACTAGTTGCGGTTTCAGGCTATGATAGATGCCGTTCACTGGTAACCCTTCCCTCCCTCTCTCCATTAATAATCCTCCTCCTCCCTCCAGTTACCAGAAAATACAGCAGTGCTGCCTTCTGCCTGCCCCTCTCTCCTCCCTCCAGGCTACTCCTTTGGAGAATTGGCTCCACAGCTGGATTGTAAAATAATCCAGCTGTTCCTATGACAACATGCTGGCAGTGGGCAGAGATGACGCCAGCACGCAGTGTTGGCCCATTCACTACCAACACCCAACTTTGTTTTGGTTTGGGAAGCATTTGTTTTTCTATGCGGGCAGCTTTGCCAAGTACATTTCTGAAGGCCGGAGGGGCAGGAGGAGCCACAATCCCATAAATGCCAAGAAAGTTGCTGGCTCTGTGATTTACCCTTGTTTTGGTTTGGCTGGGGTTTTTTTTGCCCCAACTCCATCTGATGTGAGGATAAAAACCCCTCCAGCAATCTTGCAGCTGCACACAATCTTTGCAAGACTTGATCCAGAGCCTGATTTGAAAGGCACAGTGCAAGACTTTGCGTGTCAGGCTTCCACAGGAAAAAAAAAAGAAAAGCCTTGGGTAGAATCAATAGGGGCCACACAGTTTTTATTTTAATATCTTGCCTGTCAGCAGAAAGTTTGCAGGGTACAGGGAAGCAAAGGGAAAGCTTGTTCCATGTAAAGCATTAGCCAAACACCTGGCTGGACTCACCCAGCCTCTCCAGCTCTGACAGGAGCTAGCTCATGTACCGAGGGATTTGGGCAGAGGCCATTAGCAGGAGCAGAAGGATTTTCCTATCAGGCTCAGCAAACACAGGAGGCTCCTTAGGTACTGCAGGTATTAAACCTGCTCAGCAAAGCCAGCTCCTTCAGAGTCACTAGGGTAGTTCTGCATACATAGCTTGGCAACTCCAATGACAGTGTTCCCAAAGGTAAGGTCGGGAATATGCCTGACATTCCTCAGGAGAGGAAGACAATTTCTCAAGGACTATTACCCTCACAAGGCAACTCAGCACAACAAAATGCCCCTGCTCCCAGTGTCAACAAAATAAGAGGCAGAATTTGTTACTGCCTGTATTTTTCACCATGCCTCCATTTTTATTCTGAAGAACTTGAGAGCAGAGCAGAGTGTAAGACAGGTGAGGCTCTGTAGCTGAATAAGTGCTCAGGTAATTATTCACTACCGCAAGTGTAACAGTGGCAACTTCTATTGCATGGCTGCAACTACTGCAATAGTTGTCTGGCTGCAATGACCACACTGCTCTGCCATCAACATGCAGAAAGTCAGCAGGTAGTGGTGAAGAAAGATGGTCCTCAGCAAGAAAATAAAATAATGAAAGTGGTTATGTTGTTTTTGAAGAGAGACCTCCATGGGCCTCTCTGGAGACAGAACACAAACCACCAATCAACCCAAACAAGTGCAACAAAGGCATTGTATCTCAAACTACTCAGGGTTAGGTCTCTGATCTGGCATGTTGAGCAACTGGACATAGCAGCTTGTTAGGTACAAGGGAAGGCAAGATAACAGATTAGCTTAAACCTGTACATGTCTCCTCAATGAGAGCAAGAAAAGAAAAACAACTAGAATGACTATTTCAGGAACTGTCTTAGAAACTGAAGACCTAACAGCCTCCTGGGAACCCTTCAGCCTCAGTGCCACCTGAACATCCAGCATAGTGATTACAGCAAGACACCCCTTTCCAGGATCTAGTCTCTGTCAACCATTCAGTTGACTGGCCCAAGACAGGCTTAACCCATAATCTCTTTAAATTCTTCCTGCAGAACACAAAGAGTCAAAACACAGTAAAATAAACAAAAGCAAGGCTCTTCTCCTGACTAGCATAGCCTGTGGTAGTCCAAGCCCCTTGTGTGGTGTGCTTTAGTCTTCAGCACTTCTAACAAGTGCCAGATCCCAGCCCCACAGCCTCTGCCAGATCCCACTTTACAATCTCTCTGACTTTTTACTATTTCCTAGGGCAAAATCTGATAAGAGGTTGCCAGGCCCCTGGTCTATATGATGTTTACAGGAAGAGACCACTCTATCCAAAGCTTCATTAGATAAACTAGACTCAATATCAGCACATGTACATATTTGAGAGGATTAAGAACAAGATTTCATCAAAAGGTATTTCAATTATCAGACTGCACAGTAGATACACAGCAAGGCAAATGACTCTGAGAGCAAGTCTGGCCATGTATCAACAACCTGTCCGTCCCATGAAAAGTCTACCTGCCTACTTGGTCCTGCCCCAGGAAGCACCCTTGTGAGGATTGGCAGATTGGTGAGAGGAAGGAGGGCAGCCTGAGAGCAGTGTCAGTGCAGATGGGATCAGGTGAGCGACTAGGAAAGAGGTTTTTTGGAGAGACCCTAGAGGGTCCTGGCAAGGTAGACTGCTGCACTGGAGCATCAGCTCTTTGGTTCTGATTGAGCCAATGACTTACTTTAGTTAAGTGCCTGATTATATGCCACCTACCCCAACAACTAAGCTTAGACACAAATTAGTGAGATAAGCACATATTTGCCCCATGTGGGTTGGAAACTGTCTGGATCAGCCACACTCAAAGTCAGTCATCAGTACAAAGTCCAAGTGACAACCAGTGGACTCTAGTGGCATCTCTTAAAGGTCAGTACACTGTGATGTCCTTAGTAACACCCTGAACGGTGTAACAAAGCTTACAAACAGCAAATTCATACACAACACCAAATCAGGAGTAGTGTCTGACATGCTTGGAGCGCAGTGCTAACACTTGGAGAAATCCAAGTAAGCTGGAGGAATGGGTAATAACAATTTCATGGAAAAAATAATCAAATGTGACTCCCTTGCCTGGGACAGAATAACTCCATAAAACAGTACTGGGTGCCACCTGGCTGAGGAGCCGCTTCACTGAAAAAGTGTTTGGCATTTGCAAAAAGTTTGGGAAAGCAGCAACAAAATACTAACGCTTTGTCCCCAAAAATGTCCCAAATATGTCCCCAAGATCCTGATTGTTTCCCATAAGACTAATCAAACACTAGACCAAGTAGCCCAGAAACGTTGTAGAAACCCCATTCCCAGGGATATCCGAAATCACACTGGCTAACACGGCGAGCAACACACTCTGGTTGGACCTGCTTCGAGCCGGCGGCTGGACTAAGGACCTCTGGGGTCACAGCACCCCGATCCAATACTCCTCAGCTGGGACTACTTTACCTTTCTCCCCCAGTGCTCAGCTTCCCGGAGACCAGCAGGGAGCAGTGAAAGGCGAGGAATGAGGACTTACCCACCCGACGAGCAGCATTCCTGCAAGGCTGCAGACACTTGCCGGAACCGCCCAGCGCTGAAGTTGTGAATGCCCAGCCCGGGGAAGCGGGAAGGGGCCTCGGCCAGGCTCCGGCCAAGGAAGGGCACGGTGGGATGCGACCCCCGGGCACGGGACAGGGCCGGGAGCCGCCGTGGGGACGCCAGAGCCGAGCAGATACGGGAGAGCGCGGGTAGCCACTCTCTCGGGGACCTGGCCAAGGGACGAAGAGGCCGGGGCGTTTCCTATAGCCGGAGGGTCGGGCGGAGGGGCTGGCCAGCTGGCTGCACCCACGGGTGCCAGCCCACGAGCCTGATCCCCAGTATCAGAAGAACTCCCGAGATCTTCCCGATATTGCTGCTGTCGGCTCTGGACATTGCTTGTTGCTTCAAGGGTCTGGGTTGCTACAAGGTTCATATTGCACAACTGTCCTCCTTGATCTCGAGATATAAACACACATGCTTTAAACCGAAATTTAAATTCTTACATAACCACATGACTCCAGGCACTGGGATGATGATGAAATCCCAAGAAGCATCAAGACTCTTCCACTGACAACAGACCTGCCAAAACCCAGGAGACGTGGGCCATTTTACTGGTCAGCTTTGCTACAGCTCAGGATAGTGCCCATAACCATTGTGCAAATGGGCACCAAGGCCACAAAGACATTTGCATCTGCTGTCAGTTCTAGTATAAATTACTTTTTTTTTTTACGTAGCATGTTGATTTAAACTATAGAACTTTATTCATAAATTACATGTATGGAAAATCAGACACAGGACAAAAAGAAACCTTCCAGTAAATGGATGCCTTGTGACCCCAAAACTCTGGGTTTAGAGGTGGCTGAGCTTAGAAGAGCTGCCTCAGGGGTCTAATTGGGGTGGATGACTATGACTGGGGTGGTTGCAGGCATGCCCATCTTAGTCTCTCCACCCTGCTCTCCTGTCCTGGGCTAACACACCTGTTCCAGGGGAGGCAGAAGAATGGGAACATCAGTCCTTGTCACTGGGCATCAGGGAGCTTTGCACAAGCCCCTTTCCTCAGTCATTTGGTTAGCTAATAGCTCTATTAGGCCATGGGCAAGGGTACAGCACAGGCTGTCACCCAAGAGACCTAGCAACACACTGTAGACAGCAAAGATAGTAGTTTAAATTGCTAGTTAGATCTGTCAGAGCATGATATTCAGATCTTAGAGCTGCTCATACATATACATAGAGACATTTCATAGATCTGGAGTAGTTGCTTGCCACAAACCCTTTGTGCTACCACTCAGCAGCTTCCACACACACCACCAAGGCATTACTTGGCTCTCCGTGATGCAACAGAGACACAATGGCTGACCCAGCCATTCATACACTCAGTGCATCAACAAAAGTTGGAAGGGGTCTCTGAATGCCACCCTTCCCATCCCTGCTCGAAGCAGAGTCAGTTAGAGTGGGTGGCTCAGAGCCAGTCAAGTTTTGATTACCTCCAGGGCTGAGGTTTTACAGCCTCTCCAGGCGACATGCTCCAGCGTCTGACCACTTTCAAGGTAAAACATAATGATTTTTAGTGAATGCTCTGAGACTGAGCACTCCAAACTGAACTTAGACAAATCTCTTAGGTCCTGGATATGCTGTTCCACAGGAGTTTATACAATTCTGTCAGCTACAGGACTTGACTGGTTGTGAAGTAACTTTGGTCAGGAATTCAGGGCAGCCTAACTCTCCCACATTAATACATTTGTTGTGCCAGTGTAACTTCCTGAACCATTCAATTGAGAGGTCAGACAAGTAACTGTGTACAAGCCAGGAATAAAACAGAATTACATGAATGAGAGCAGACAAGATAACAGGACCACATATGAAGATTGACTTAAGATCTTCTGAAACGGTAGCTTCACTGAAGTAATATTGGCCTTTGCAAGGGACACAACTTTCCAAAATCTGGAGAATGAGCTCCCTAAGGGCTACGGTACCTATGCTGCTAACACCTGTAGCACAAACACACTGCAACACAAAATCCACTGGGGAGAGGGGAACAAACCACACATTTGCTTATTAGTCACTTTTGAGGTTAATGGGAAAGTGGTCAGATGCTGCTTTCAGTGGTTCATGGTAAGCTGCAAACTAGAACAGAACACTTCAATTATTAATGCCCAAAAGGAGCTCCAAGATCCTCAGGTGGAAATCATGATATAATAAATACTTCATTCTCTTAAACACAGAAGATTATTTCAGTGCATAATGTACCTTAAAAGGAAATACAAACCTTTGCTTAAGAGTCAGAGCTGGTCTTTACCACGTTCTGTGCCCAATCACCTGCAGGGCACAAGCTGTCATGCAATATCCAGTAATTAAGCTATACTTATTACAAGATTGGAAGCTGTGAGGTCATTCCCTGTGCTACTACACGTGCCTTAAGTTAGCTATGATAATCATTCTCACATGTACCCAACCAATGTTTAGGCCTTCAGCTACAGTTACTCTCTGATGATGTAACAGCAAGTGACAAAGTGGCACAGAGTGGAAAAAGATTGCTGACTTTGGTGGTAAAGTGATTTGGAAAAAGGAGATTTTGCTCAGTTTGACTGCATGGAGTTACACTCTATTCCATATATCCAGCAAATGGAATAGCTTGGCACTATTACTGCAAAGACAGAAGTATCACCATTCCAGAACCATCTCATTGGTTCCAGAACCATCCTTACCTACTCTATAAGGAATAAGCAAATAAGTTGCATTTGTTTTGGCATGAAAATGCTTGCACAGTAAAATCTTTCTCAAATTATAGGTTCTAAAAGATATGGAAAAAAACCAACCCAATACCGAAGTGCTAAACCTTTCTTGGCAAATCTTGACTTATGTTAGTGACATATGACTATATGGCAGGTTTATGAAGAAGGCATGTTAGTACTATTCTGGTGTAATGAGCAAGAGTCTTGCATTCCTGTAGTGCCTTTCTGCAATAAGGAATAAAACAACAACAAAAGGAATTTCATTAGGTCTTGACTAAATGTGTTGCGGCTAAGATCCAGTGAAGGATTTGCCCTTGGAACTTAAAGGTATGTAGAAAACGGATAAAACTTTTCTCAAATAAATGTTCCCAATCCGGATCGTCCTTTCTGAGGGATGAGGCATAGGTAGCTCATGTGACTATTATTTTGTGGTTCTTAACGTGTGGAAACCATCCTATCAGCTTGCCATGCCCCTTGACTTAGCTCCCAGACCTAAACAAATACACATCCAGGCAGAATAACATGTTTCCATGTCTGTTATTTCACCATGTTTCCCACCAATTATGGTTACATATCTGCCATTCAGTGAAAAACATCAGTTCATGTTTCCCTTAAACCCCACCCCATATTTAGGATAATTTGGAGATAATTTATCAAACACTGCAGTCATCGGGATTCCTTTTGGAGCACTGAACATGTTACACAACACTTACAACAAGGTAAATCCTCTAACCTGCCAGAGCTTGTTTATAGCCTGACACAGGCAGCATCTACAATGCCAAGTGAAGCTGGGCCAGGAGCTGTTCTGTGGTGGAAGAGCTGGGCAGTCCACTCACCACATCCACACTACACAGCACCTGGCTGGTGGTCACCCCCAACTACACGTGGTCTTAAATAAGTATTATTTCAGGAGTTTTATTTCAAACAGGTAGATTTTAATAAAGGAGAGCTTGTGCCGTAGCTCAGGGGGATGACTTAGAACAGGAAGCTAAAGGACTTGTCATAAGTCACAGCATAGAGGTGAGTTTGACAGTATGAAACTTGCTGGAATGTTACTGGATCACCCAGAAAAGTGGAGGGGGTCCAGTCTCACAGAGTCTTCCTCACTGCTCATTGGACACATGCTACCCTTTAAACTACACCCAACCCATCATCTTGGAGATTGCTGGTTGACACATGCCAAGACTGTTCCAGAAACCAGAATTATTACTGTATAGTAGAGCACAGTGGAAAACAGGAAACAAATACCTAAACTTGATTCCTACCCTCTTTGATTCAGCAATACAGGCATAGCCAAGGGACCCAAGCTTGTGATACCTGGAAATTGCTGACAGATAGCAGCAAAAAAACCACAGCTATGTTGCTTGGGGTGGGGGGGGAGGGAAGAGAATGAAGAGGATGGGAGGATCCGAGAGGCCCATGAATAGTTAAAGGTTTGAAGAGCTGAATTCTTTGAAAGTCTTGGAGTGAAAGCCTTATCAGTGCCGGAAACCCCATTCTTGGCTTTGTACTCAGTTCTTATGTAATGACAGCAAATTACTTTGTTTTATCTTCCCTGGTGTCCTCGAGGTTAGTGACACATCATTAGGTTACGTTGCTATTTTAATTCAACTGCCATACCACATGCTTAAATGCTGTAACAGAGCTTGTCCTTCTCTACAGTGTGCTACTGGCAACTGTTATTTTTCCTGCAATTAGAATTCAAATGCTTCATAGCAGGAATTTCATCAATCTCAGGCTGAAGCACTCAATATACTTCAAAGCAGTGTCAAAATAATGTTTTATTTAAAAACCTAAATGCCCTCTCACTATCTGAATTCCGTGAACCTTCCTGATTATATGCTTAAAGACTTACACTGCCACTGTATTTTATGGCCTTTACAATACCATTACCTATTTGGGGAAAATATTTAATTTTGCAAACAAAACTAAATAAATACTATTTTATGAGATGGTTTCTCTTCCCTTCTTCCCGAGCATGAGAAGATTCAAGATGGGCTATTTAAAAAGCACTCAGTCCTTACCAAGTGGAAGATGCGATGCAATCAGAATTAAAATTATTCCTTTAATGTTGCAGCTGGTTGTCCATAGCAAACAGACCAAGTTACAAAACATTTATATAAAAACAGAGCTCAAATCTAATCAGTGAAGAAGAGCTGAAAATCTGTTGTGCAGACTAAAGCTGCCAGGGGTTGGCAGGGGACAGGACACCACACCGCAGAACAAGAGCTCCTTAATTGGAAATAAAGATATATAGTCCACATGCTAGTTACAGCCTTCTTTTGTTTTCCCATGATATCCTGTTGATATAACATCCAGGTCCCTTGTGAACATCCGCTGTTTCCAAATAAGAATGGGTGTTGTTGGTTTCACTTCAGCACCCCACTGGATCACCAGCCTACCTCTGCCTGGAAGTGCTGCCGGATGCAGCTCCAAAGAACAACCTTATCAGCAAAAGATCTGAACAGATAAGGTGCACGGACATATGAGATCACATCTTCTGGTAACTTAAACAAATTTCAAACACCATTACAATATGGAAGCACAGGAAAGAGTGAAAGTTCAGCTAAATCCCTACAAGGCCACATAGAAATAGTCATATTTGATGAAATCAAGCACAGCTTTTGCCCCTCTCTTATCAGCCACATTCTTCTGACACTGCCTGGTAGCAAGCACCCGAAGAAAGTAGTAAGGACAAAGTCAGTGGTCAGTGTGTAGTGTTGCCTCATCACAGAATTCCCTAAGGCCCCAGAAATTTCAAAATGAGGATTTGCACAGCCAAAGGGGATATATGTGTATTTAATAGTCCTCACTAGCTTTTATTTATGATAATTTTCTGGACTTTTCATCTCAAAAAAACCCCCCAAACCCTTGTAGTATCAAAATCAGGCCAAAAGATTTTCTACAAGAACCCACAACATGGAATTAGCCACCTTGTCAAGTTTGGTTTTATTCCACATTTCCCCAAGTTTTGCTTGTTGTACATCATTCTTACACTGAAAGAAACCTCCCCTGATTTGTGTCTGTGAAGCTGAAGAGTCCTAGTTAACTTACCTGCTTCTGACCTAGAAACTGTCCCACACTTCCTAACATTTATCTACTTGTCTGAACCTCTTACAGTGCTCTATGTCCTTCTAAAGATCAGAACTGTACAAAACATTCAAAGCACTGGTACACCATGGATTAATCCTGTGCCATAATGACACTCTCTGCTTTTATTCTCTTGCTCTTATCTCCTAACACTTGATTTGCTCATTTACCAAGTCTTGAACTGAGGTTTTCAGAGAACTATTATGTCAAGATCTTGTTCCCGAGGGATAAATCAGCTTCTAGGCTGTTTCTGTATGATTGAGACAGATTGTTTATCTTCCATTTAAAACACTTTAAATGTATCAAATTGTACCACCCACTCGCTTTGTATTGTGACATTTTACTACCTTTGCTCTCAGTCCACAGGCTCCAATTCAGATCCTTGTGGAACCTTCCATATTGACTCATTCTACAAATGTAGAAAAATAAGAAATATTTTTCCTCTGTCTTACAGTCTTTACTGCAATGTCATGTATCCACATGAAAACTTCTTTATTCTACAGTTTCTTCAGAAGATTTTGCTCATAGATTTTGTTGAATACTTTTTAAAAACCCAAGTAGAAAAGATCAGAATGTCTCTTGTCCACATGCTTTGCTGACTCCTCACAGGACTCCCAGCAAGGCCAGGAGATCTCATTAGAAAGGCTCTGCCAGCTCTCATGGTACCCCATTTTCTTCTCCCTGCACCCACTAGTTCACCTCTTTAAAATTTTCACCAACTTGGCTGATACAAGCTCATTGTTCAGCAGCTCTGTAGAACTTTTCAGGCTGTTTTTGTTTGTTTGTTTTTGTTTTGTTTTGATTGGTTTGTTTGTTTATTGGTGTATTAACTATCTTTCCATTCTCTGTTACCAAAGCCCTTCTAAATGCAATGTTACAAAAAAGCCATTAGTAAGCAGCTCAGCTATTTAAGTCTTGACTTCTCTTAGAACTCTTGGATGAATGTAATGCAGTCCAATTGTTGGATGCTTTTTATTTTAGCCATTTGTTTCACTACGTTTTCTACAGACCTTCCGCTTGAGACATATCTTCTGATAAATCTTTCACAAAATCAAGTATTAGTACAGGAATATTCTTACGTTCCTCTAAAGTGAGCACAGAGCAAAACACTAATTTATTTTTTCTCTCCTCTGAATAATCTTTTTTCTTTTTTTTTGACTTTTCACTGGCTCTGATAACATTTCTGGCAAGCTTCCTGTTCTGTTTTGACTGAAAGCAGGAGACAGATTTTTGTAACAAAATAGTAACCAAAAGTAACAAAAAGATACATGGCACGAGTACTGGCGCAGTAAATGTTCAAGGATGTAGGCGCCTGTCACTCGGTACACTGCAGCCACGTTCACAGCAGCTATGGTGCGGCTGGGCCGTTTTGTTTTGTTTTGTTTTGTTTTCCCACCATCACAGATCAATTCTTCCAGCTCAGAGCTGACTGTGGAGATTTCCAGGTGGACGGGTGGTGCCACGGAAGCGCAGTTAGGGACAGCGAGAGCTACAAACCGTTACGTGTGGGCTGGCCTGGGACTCAACACCGCGCGGCGTGAAATCCGCGCTCCTTCTCCCGACCCCTCACCCCGCAAAGGCACCCAGAGCGCCGGAGGAGGCGCAACGGAGGCCGGGCTACCTGCGAGGAGCCAGGTGGGGCAAGGCAGGGAGCGGTGTGCCGGCCGCGGGGAGGCTGCCGGCGGCCGGGCAACACGTCCCGGTGTCCGTCCCGGTGTCCGTCCCGCCCTGCCTTCCGGATCCTTCCCGCCGCACGGGAAGCGCGCCGGCGCCGCCTTGCCATATATGGGCAGGGCCGGAAGCGCGCGCGTCACGCCGCTGGCTCGCGGCGGCCCCGCGGGGAGTGGGACGTCACGTCACGTCCCTGGCGCGCCCGCGCGCGGCGCCCCGGCAACCAAACAGTAAACACGGGCGCGCGCAG